AGTGTTGCGATATAGGTGAGGACCTGATCATTGTATTCAATTGTTTGCACAAAGTTTTGCTCGGCTTCTTCCGGCACCAGTGGCTCGATGGCGGCGTCCACCTCGTTCAGTTGGGCTTGGAGGGCACCAAGCCTTGCGGAAAAGATGCTGAGGTTCTTTTCGTTTTTCTCATTGCTTTTGATGTATGAATCAATTTCAGAAAGGAGTTTGGTCACCTGTGTTTGCAGGGCAGTTCGTTTCCCCTTGAGTTGTTCCATGGTCCGGAGCTCGTTGCCTCAGCCGTTGGCGAATCCAAGATGGCTCCTGCCTTCTTCTCGTTTGTCTTTTTCCCTTTTCTGTCGTTGGATGTTCTGCGTTGGAAGTCACGTCCTAATTTCCTTCATTCCCGGGTTTCGGCACCAACTTTTTAACAGTGTGGAATTAGGGAAAGGACTCATTGTTTTTTAGTGTAACAGAACATGGTTTATTTCTAGTGAAAACTGATTCAAGTAAAGCGAAGCGAGCGAAGGCACGTTCACCTTCGACCGTCGGTCAAACAAGAAGGGAGAAGTGGCCCGCACAAAGCAAGGTCCAAGAGGGGGGCTCGTCATTTATGACCCCACAGTGGGGCGCGCTCTCCTTGCGGCTCCCCGTCCCTCTTCGCGGTTTCCTAGAAAGGGGCCGGTGCCTCGGTCTCGGCTCGTCCTCAAAGTCGTTTGCCACTCTTTCTTTCCTGCTCGGGCATCTCCAAGTTCTCTTCTTTTTATTTTACAACAGCCTCTAAAGGTGTCCTTTCTTGTCTATGGAAGTAGGAAGCTTCTGGAGGCGACATGAGGTTACCAGGGGTGAAGCCAGAAGCGTGGAGGGACACGCCCCCAATAATAACCAAAAACCAAGAGATGCTATTGGACAGCTGTTGAGCCAGCTCTCCTTTTCATCCACAAGCGTCTCTTGGTTTTTGCTCATCGTTGGGGGCGTCGTGTCTCCTCCACAAGCTTCCTACCTCCATGCGAAACGGCGCTCTGTTGTTTGCAGACCAGTGGCGTCGCTGCGTTTCCATAGGAGCTAAGCCTTTTTCTTTCTTTACTTTTTCCTCAGGTCAAATCGCTCTTTGCAAATTTTACAAAAAAAAATGCACCATCCGTGGGCAACGCTGCACAAAGTCGTAGAGCGATAGGTTAAGAAAGCGAATTTTCCGGTCGATTTGAAGAGCCTGGCGTCTCCTTGTATCACCCTGTAGAATGCTTTCTTGCTGCACTTGTGAAGACAATTGTATCTGTTTTTGTATTTTATCCTCGCAGTACATGTATTGCAGTATTTGTGCTCCAGAATAGGTTTTCGAGTATATCTGACCAGCCCTGGCTATCTTTTTCCTGGTGGGCAGCTTCTATATAGCATACAGATGGTCTTCGTCCCAAATTCAGAGGCTAGAAGTATTCGATTTCATGTGGCAGACTACCTACCGAGCAAGTGCCCACTCAAAATTTTGAGATAGTCACAAACCATTGGGGGATGGGTGCTTGTTAGGTCATCATATTAACATGTATATAGTATGTGTACTGTGCACATTTTTTTTTCTTTCTTTCAAATGTTATAAAATTTGGGGTTGGGCACTTGGAATGGGCAGACGCTCTAAGCACTAGAACAGCGACCACGATCATCATTCTTGACCCCAAGTACACATGGTTTAAACTTTCAATGTTATTTTACACTAATAGGTATGGGGATGGGTTAAACTAGTTGGTACGTGTCTGTTATATGCATTGGCTTGTGCAAAATACACAAACACACACAGGAAGGAATGGGGCTCTGACCGCTGTCTACAAACTAAGGTTTACTACTCCTTCCTCTTCATTCCTGTTTACTGGGACCACTAATAGTGTTCACTTTTTTGATGGCTACTTAAAAATGATTACCCCTCTCATTGGATTCATATGTGCAATGTTTGACAAGTAGTGAGCCTGCTTAAAAATAAGCAAGCACATTAGAAAAGAACCATGCCAGTGTGTAGTTTTACTTTTCCCACATCATTTTAACAGCAATCCATCGAGCTTGGCATGTTGTAAAATTGTGAGCCACCATTGTCGAGAAACGTCACAGAAAACTTGGGCGATGTGACTTTCCTCCAAGACATTCCAGCTTGTCTCACTACCTGCCCCGCAGTTCCATGAATGTGACTTAGAACTCTTATGCCTTGGCACCCTACTCACTGGATCTGGCACCATCGGACTTTCATCTATTCCCTGCGCTCAAACAAGATCTGTAAAGACAGCCGCTCCAGCAAGGAAGCCGTCATAGACGCTGCACGTGAGTGGTGTGAGGACCAAGAGAAATTACTTTTTTCTCAGTGGGTGGGCTCCACTAGAAGTGCATAACACTCAAAGGAGACTTTGCAGAGAAATAATAAAGGGCCATTTGCATGTGACAGTCCCATCAAAAATAGGCTCACTACTTCTCAAGCTTCCCTTGCAGACAGGTTGTGTACCAATCTTTAACAACTTTCTACAGTACTAGCCCACAGTTCTTCGTTATGCTTCATATTTTTTGTTGGGCGTATTTGCGCGCCTTGTGTTGCACTGCCAGTGCTCGTGATGTAAACTTGCTTTCGTGCTTGCCTGCTCGCAAGTGCAATGTGCCTGAAATAAATGGATGGATTTCTAAAGTTGTGTGCAGGGAGTTTTGTTGTCGGGTCTGCTGCATATATAGTCGACCATGCTGATCATCTGAGAATGTCTTGCCTCGTATATTTTCCCTACTGGTTTCAGAAAAATTAGGCATTCCATGATTTGACTGCACATGGCCCAGTGGAGGTCATGCAGCCAGAAGTGTCAGTATTCTGTAGTGGAAATTTGGGTTGATGGAACCTTGCAAGTGGTTAACATCACCAAGTTTGGAAAAGAGGACAAACTGAGATGAGAGTGCTTATTTTTGTAGCTGCTGGAAACAGAAACGTCAATGGCAATGTGCCCAACATGTAGTGCATCTTTTTGCGGCTGCATTTTGAAACCCTGTTGCTGAAGCAAAGTTCACGCTGGCTGACCTCGGTTTCCCTTTATGTCTAGACTACCTATTCACCAATGCCAGGTGCCAGTTTGGCCAGCTTTTTGTAGTCGCAAAGAAAGATGGAGGTCAGGCAGGCAAAGCCAGCCCTCGCACCGGGGGGCTATGTTGCACGTTTTGGACTCCCAGGAGACTAGGGAGAAGGAAGTGACGTCAACGATGCTCGCTGGATGTTGATTGGTGTAGTCGCTGATGACAGTATCTGCAGAAGTTGCCAAGACACGTTCATTCACACCTACGTCACTTCCTTCTCCCTAGTCTTCTGGGAGTCCAAAACGTGCAACATAGCCCCCCTGTGTCGAGCACAGGCTCCAAGTCACTCGGGCAAAACTATCCGAGGCTTGCGGACATGTGTGAATACAATCCTTTGAAGATATTCTGAGGTAAGCATAGCTAGGACAAATCTGACACCTGCTGTCTGCAGCATGCGTACGCATAACAGTGGGCATGTGGGCATATCACATTGGTAATTGGTAAGCACAGCGAGGACGACCCTTGACATCAACCAATTCGTTCACACACGTGCCCAGTCGTCGCTGCAGGTGAGGACGATGACAGTAGATGGCCAGTCGGCTTGTGGAATATTTTCTCACTGCCCGCTTCCTTCGCTAAATTTGTAACAATCGCTACGTCACTTCGCGTCACTCCACTGTGGGTGTACGAGTGCGTGCACGCTGCCCGCGGACATGCTTCAGCCCCTCGAGTGATCGCGCAAAAAGAAAAAAAAGCACTGGTCGAAGCAGCTGCGTTCACGCTTTAGTACCGTTTCCAGTGGAGCACAAAAAAGCTGACATCGGGTATAGATCAATTTCGCCGCAGGGTTACAGGCTTGACAATGCACTTCTCCATTTCGACTAGCTGCGGGGAGCGCGATTGATTCTTGCAGAGGCGTGACAGTGTATATGCAAAGCACAATTCAGACGTGCACTCGCGGTCCAGATCACCGCTTGTGCTCCGTTGGCGTCTCATACGTACCTGGCGCGATTCCTGTTGAGGCCAGCAACGGGCGAATGATGTTGCACCCGTGAATAATGCTGCCAAGCGGCGAGTTGGGCATCGCTGTAGGGCAGACTACACAACACCGCAGCGGCGCGTCGTTCGAATGAAATAAAACATTAGCTACACTGGACGTTTTAGCGAAAGCCAAACGAGCTGGGTTTATTTCCAGGCCGTAAATGACTTCGGAACGCTGGCAGCGGTCACGGGTCCTTAGGCCTAAACACACCCTTCCGCCCTGGAGTACGCGAACGTTACGGCAGAAAGCATAAAACGGCCGTAGCGTAGCTGCCCAGTCAGCATTGAGACCTGTGCGCGTATGTTATCCAGTTTCACACTAACGATACCTTCCAATATCTAGGACTGCACCAATGCACTTTTTCGACTGGGGCGTGGAGTACTCCAAAACAAAACGGCAGCGCGTCTGCTCGCGTCGGCGGTAGCGGGGGGGAGGGGGGCTGCACGCAGCTTAGAACAGCCCGTAGCGCGCGCGTACCACGTGACTGCGCCAGCCAATCGCGGTATTCTTCCCTCCTCCCTTTCCTCCTCTCCCTCCTTCTTTTCTCTCTCGCGGGGCTTTGCCGTGGGGGGTCTCACAATACGCGTCCGGGGCTCCCGCGCCCGGCCGCGCCGGCGCCCGCCGTTCACCTCTTCGGCATGTAAGACCCCTCGTTTTCCGCAGGCCCACGCAGGCCCTGCTCTTCTTTATTTTCACGGGTGTCCGCATTTTCTTTAATACAACATTCTGGCGACGAGGATGTTTTCCCCCGCATTTTCGAACCCCCGCGCCCCCTGAGGCTTCGTTTCGCCGCTTTTCGTCGCGGCTCTACTCTTTTTAGCATCGTTTTTGAGAGCGTCCGAGCGGTTGGTGGGTCGTACTCCGCGTCTAGACGGGACGTGTAACTTTTTTTTTCGTTCTCGCGTCATCTTTGACGTTCGGAATGGCGTTGTGCAAAGTTCCCGCCAATTTTCTCAACACGCCCGGTGAGCCGGTAGCGCCGTGGGAAACTTGGAAGCGCGGCTTCCTCAACTACCTCGAGGCGATCGACGCCGAGGATTTTCCGCCGAAACGCAAGAGGGCGATTTTATTTTCATTTCTCGGCGATGAAGGCAATCGCGTCGTTGATGCGTTCAACCTAGCAGGTCCGTCCGTTAGCTCGACTCAGGATGAGTTTCAGGTCTTGTTGTCCGCTCTGGACTCCCATTTCGCTTCCGCTCCAAATATCATTGTTGAGCGTAGGAAGTTCGTCAACCGAGTACAAGGTCCAGGCGAGACCGTTCTCGAGTACCTTGGGGCGCTCAGACGCCTAGCTTCGTTTTGCGATTACGGCGAGGCTTTAGAGAGCCGCGTCGCGGAAATGTTTATTTCGGGGGTCCACAGCACAGAAGTGCAGGATCGTTTAATCCGAGAGTCCGACGGAGCAAACGCACCTAGCCTCGATCGTGCTGTCCAACTAGCGCAGCAGTTCGAGCGGGCTTCTCGAGATTGCGATCTCTTTCGGCGTTTGTCAGATCAAGATCCAAACGCGTCGCACGTGGTACAGCGTGTCCAAGATGGCCGCGATCTTCAACCGTTGAGCGGTCAGCATGCCCAAGATGGCGAGGCATCATCTTCCCGGAAGAACCAGCATCCTCCTCTCCCGTCTTCCCCAAGACGTGACCGTCCTTCTCCGCCTCGTTCTCCTCCTTCCCCGTCGGCTCGCGAGTTCATCCATTCATCCGCCGGCGTTCGCGCCGCACGTTTTACCCCCATCGAGGAGCTCGCGCGCGCTCGTCGTGCGATTTTTGTTTCTTTTGTGGCCGCAAGAGCCACGCACGGCAAGATTGTCCGGCATCCAGAGCTACGTGCTTTTCGTGTGGTCGTGCGGGCCACTTCGCCAATGTCTGCCGGAGTCGCCCAAGAAGCGACCGTTACCAGCACCAGCTGGACTTTCCTGTTGGACGGCGTTCCTCCGTCCGCGACTACTACCAGCATCGGCAAGCAAGGCCTCGTCCCACAAGGACCCCCATTCAAGGCATCACCTTCCCGGACTACGAGCTCCCAGCAACAATCTACACCGTCGCGCCGCCCGATGATTTTCCGGAGCGGTGCCGTTTCTGTGGTGGCCCCTGCCACTCGAGGAAGTTTTGTCCGGCCGCACACCGTCGCTGCTTCTCCTGCCAGAAGCAAGGTCATCTAGACCGTGTCTGCGAGAGTCGACCCCGGTGGCCACGACTCGACCGTGGGGGGCCTAGCAACCCTCCCACCGTGTTCGCGTCCGCCCACCGGAGGCGTCGAGAGATGCGTCACTTTTCGGCGCCCCGAGCGCCATGGTCCCGGCCCCGGGGAGGTACCTTGCCCCCGGAGCCCCCAGTTCCTGCTGCAGCCCCGCCTGCAGTTCTTCTTGCTGCAGCCCTGCCTGCAGCCCCGTCTCCAGTCCCTGCCGCTGCCCCGTCAGCCGCAGCCCCTTCCGCTGCAGCCCTGCCTGCAGTTCCTGCCGCTGCCCCGTCAGCCGCAGCCGCTACAGCCCTGCCTGCAGCTCCTACTGAGGGTGCAACCTCCAGCACCTGTGACAGCCCAACAGTGCTGACGCAGCCACCTGTGAGTGTGTGTCCGACACCCAGCCCGGAGCCACCAGAGCCCCCGGGTTCAGACAAGTCCACCCCGCGACAGGACAGTCGCCCACTTCAAGCCTGGCCGCTGCCAGAGCGCCTAAAAGACTACTTTTTTGTGAACTTTTTCAGCAGCACTTTTGACGGAAAAGTGCAGGACATATAATTAATACATATGTGAACATTCAGTGAATTTTTTTTCTTATGCAGCTTACTGCCCCAGCGCAGCCTTTTTGCAGTGTGTGCTTTCCGCAAATCTTTTGCGACGTGCTTTTCCTTTTCATTAATTTCACATTTTCCAGTGTCTTGACATAGAAATGTCATTTCATTTCAGTACATTTCCATACTTCCCAACTGCCCTGCAGTTTGGCGTCAGTTTTCGGGAAAAAAGGTCTATTCAATTTTTTTTTTCCTAAGAGAGGAAAGGATAGGTAGTTATTTTTTTTTTAAGGAAAGGAAAGTTCATAATGGAACAGCGCGAATTATTGCAAGGACAGGAGAAGGAACTGGACAGAAGGAAAGGAAAGTGTAGTATTTCAATTTTTTATGCAAGTAGTTCTCGCTACGCTAAGCAGATGGCGCCACCGTTGCACCATTGCCCGTGTTATCGGGGTAGCGTCCCCGTGGCGCTCAACCCCCGCGTTGTTGACCGTTAAATAAATGAGTTACGATCCAGGATCATCCAGCCACCGTCTTCGCCGGACGTCCGTCTCTCTCCGTCCGGGGCTCCCGCGCCCGGCCCCGCCGGCGCCCGCCGTTCACCTCTTCGGCATGTAAGACCCCTCGTTTTCCGCAGGCCCACGCAGGCCCTGCTCTTCTTTATTTTCACGGGTGTCCGCATTTTCTTTAATACAACACCCACAAAGAACAATGTCCCCTGAGGGTCATAGTATCCGAGGGGCTCATGGCAGAAGCCGGTCGCGCTTTTTCTCCAAGACAAATTGGAAGTTTTAGGCTTTAACGATCCATTTTTGGTAAGAAATTCTGACGATATTTTAGATTTTTTAAAAAATAACTCCGACAAAGGATTTTCAGCCTGTTCATTTGACATTAAAGATTTATACTACTTTGCCGCACGACAAGTTACTAACATCCGCGGAACATTGTATCGATCGCTTTGGTACAGTGGCCTTCCAGAATCAAATCGGCATGACGGAAGAGAGTTTCATTGAAATGCTCTCGTTTTACTCGTTTTATCTTAAATCGACGTTTGTCGAATGGAATGACGGGGTCTAATACACAAACAATGGGTATGCATTGGCTCATGTTTGGCACCCATCCTCAGTAACATATTTTTAGCCCATCAGGACAAAGTTCTTTTTGACCACTTTAATGAAGGCAACGATTTTAATGAAATCAAAGTTTTTTGATTTGTGGACGATTTTTTAATTCTGTTCAAGCATGGGCCTGCAGAATTCCAGTCGAATGTGGATGACCTCTTTACTGTTTTTAAAAACGTCTTACACCCCCTCATACTAACCCAGGAACTACCGGTAGATGGTGTGTTGCAGTTCCTTGATATCAGACTAATCTTTTCTGAAAGACATGTGTGTTGGATGTACTACCCTAGAGCCCAGAAACCCCTGTTGCCGTACAATTCAGCTCATTCAAAACTGGTAAAAAGGAGTATTGCCAATATGTGCGTATTGAACGCCCTCAAAAAGTCATGCCACCATGTGATGTCAGAAGGCCTGGGCACGCAATATAGGCGGTTGTTGGCAGCAGGCTTCCCGAAGAATGTAGTGGTGTCAGTTGCAAAGATCGTATTAAAAAGATTGCGTAGTGAAGATTGCCCTCGCCCAATGGTTCTCAGAGATAAACAAAAGGTCGCGGTGATACCGTACATTCACAAAACGGCGTATGGCTTAAAAAAGGTGGCCAATAGATCAAACGTGGAAGTAGTGTTTTCCGCACCAAACAAACTTTGTAGATTATGTAGGATGACAGATCCTTTTCGTATGGCCCCTTCTGGCTGCGCGGTGAAACACAGGGATCTCTTCGTTGAATGTGCGGAGGGAGTAGTATATCAGATCCCCTTATCATACGGAAAAAAGTATATAGGTCAGACAGGCAGGTGCGTTAATGATAGGCTGAGGGAACACAAACTTAAAGTAGGAAATTATCGGGACGGTTATCTGTCTGATCATTGTCAAAGTTGCAAGTGTGTGCCGTTGTTTTCCGAGAGCAAGATTCTGGCACGGCACAAGGAAAAAACTGTGAGGGAGATAGTCGCGGCAGATGAGATTAAGAAGGGTGGTGGTGCAGCATGTGTCAGCGTGGCCTCAATTGATTAAGTGGACAAGGAGCGTGCGTTCGTCAATGACGCGGCCTGGCACCGGGTTAGCTAGTGGTGGAGCAAGATCGGAAACTCGGATGGTATAAAAGTGTCGTTTCATGTAATAAAATCAGTTGTTAGTAGCGCACTGTGCTGTCTGTTTCTCGCCTCTTTGTTCCTGTTTTTTGAGCGCTAAAATGTATTCCAAATTCCAAAACCAACATGCCCAACAATCTACTCTGCCTTAACTTTCTTCTTAACTGGGACCTGCTCTTCCGTATCTCCACTATAGCCTAAAAACTTTCCTCTTAATTTCCTAGTGCGCTGTCACCACTTTGTGTCTATGCTCCTCATGTGTATATAGCTGAAAACCTTTCGTGCCCATTGGTCCCCATCCATTTGCCTCAACCGATCCTCAAATTCTATCTTGCTCACCGCTTCCCTGCTCTCAAAAGACGCCCATCCCATGTCTCCTTGTACTCCCTGGTTTGGCGTTTTGCAATGTGCCCCCAAAGCCAGCCTACCTACTCCGCGCTGTTTTATTTCTAGTCTTGCATGCACTGCGGATTTCATGCATAGCACTGCGTTTCCAAAAGTCAAGCCAGGGACCATGACCCCTTTCCAAATCTCTCTCACTACCTCATACCTCTTGTAATTCCAAAGTGCTTTGTTTTTCATTACAGCTGCATTTCTGTTGCCCTTACCTATTATATACTTTTCATGCTCACTGAGATATTCTGCACCGTCGCATATCCATACTCCTAGATACTTGTATTTACAAGCTCTCTCAACTGTAATATTCTGTATTTTCAGCCTCTCAACTTCATCATTGTTAAAAAACATGACTGCTGATTTTGCACTACTGAACTCTAAACTTAATCCCTCTCGTTCCTTACCACAGATGCTCATTAATTCCTGCAACTCTGTCCTGTTGTTAGCCATTAGTACAATATCATCCGCATACATCAATCCCGGTAAGGATTGCTGAATTTTTTGGCCTGGCTAACTGTAGGAAAGGTCGAATCCAAGCCCACTCTTCTCTAGTATATTCTCCAATCCTCTCAGATACAACACAAACAGCAAAGGCGATAACGGGCACCCCTGCCTAAGGCCTCGTCTTATCTCTATTTTCCCCGTCACCTTTCCTTCCCATGTTATAATCACCTTATTATCTTTGTAAATGTTCCTTAATAGGGCTGTTAGTCCTTCATCTAGGTTTAAGCTCTCCACTATGTCCCACAGGTTCCTTTGGTTCACATTGTCATAGGCACCCTTGATATCCAGAAATGCCAGCCAGAGCTCTCTTTTGTTTTTGCGCTATTTCTATTTGGATGGATGGATGGATGGATGGATGGATGAATGCGGCTGAGCCCTTTGGATCGGGTGGTAGCTTATGCCACCTAGCCATTTTGTTTTACCATTTAAGCTTAGAATATTTAAATGTGCAATCTATATTCACTCCGCACTGCAAAGAAAGCGGGGCTATAAAACCTTCTTGCCATCAGTCAATAAGAAAATACCTAGTTTTCCCTCGCTTTCTGCCACCATTCACTTAATCTTTGCTTGGTAATCTCTACAGTCTTGAAATCCACTCTCCCGTCAGTCTCTAAAACCCAATGGCTTTATTAAATCCATGTTGTCTTCAGTAGGCATAGGGTGAAGCCCTTTACAGTAGATTATCAAGTGCTCAGCCGTCTCGTCCTCCTCTCCACAAGCAGTGCACACTGTATCCATTTCCTGGTACCTCGCTCTGTATGTTCTGGTTCACAGAACACCCGTCCTCGCCTCAAACAACAATGAGCTTCCCCTAGAATTGTCATAAATGCTTTCTTTGGCAAT